GGAGAGGAGAGGAGAGGAGAGGAGAGGAGAGGAGAGGAGAGGAGAGGAGAGGAGAGGAGAGGAGAGGAGAGGAGAGGAGAGAAGAGAAGAGAGAGGCCTTTCTCGGGCTGTGTGTGGGCCTGCTGAGGGAGACACAGCGGCAAGAAGCTGCTGGGGGTCATTCTTCTGGTTTTTGATTCTCTGAACACTGATGGAAGTTCATCGTTTAGCTTCTGTTTCGCGTTGTTTGTTGCGAATTGGCATTGACTCGTGAAAGCACTTTTTACAAATATGCTAATCCTGTAAAGGATAAATATAGTAGTCGCCGGGTTAAGAGGCTAAAGTAAAATATTTGAAATAGTGCCTGTTGTTTTTCCCTGCATTAGTTAGTGCATTGGGAGCTGGGTATTGCACTGATTAAGCATTCCATTCATGGAACCGTACAGGTGTTGGTTAGTTTTGTATCTTAGTAAATTGTTTTAGAATTTCTCAAAAAAGAATGCGACGAGGAGGAGCTCAGGGTAATTATGGAACCAGACCCTTCTCTGTTCAAATTGCTAGCTTTAAAACAAGGCATTATCATGAGTATTAATTAAATTTTGCACGAATCAGTATTGATATTTTCAAACTTGGATGTTGATTTATAGGAGAATTCTCTTTTGTCTTTTTCCAGACAAATATTTGATGGGCCAAGATAATGTAATATTTCTGTGGTACAGCACCAAGTGTGACCAGCTGCTCTTACCAAACAACAGGTATGTTTGCACAGTCAGAGCGGACCATGTCCTTTCCATGGTCACAGAGCTGATTGAGTAAGACTTTCATTGAGTTCAATTTCCAGAGATATACATTCAATCCAAGGGTCAAACACCACCAACAAAATATAAATGTATCATTTTTTTCTCTCTAAACTAGCACAGTTCCAGGAAAGTTCATTTTTGAAAGCCTATTGTCATTCACAGCATTTGAAAAGGGATAGATTGAATCTCCTTCACAAATATGCTCTCAATAACTGCATTGAATGCACGTTAAACAAGGCCATTTTTAAAGTTACAATCAAAGTATTCAAATAGATCAAGCTGTTACATCGTTACAATGAACATATATGAAGTTGATATTGAGTACAGACATAGGAAACTTTTGAGTATTTGAGTACCTGATCTGTATGGATTAAAAACCATAATAACTACTTTTTCAGACTCTCATAACTGAAACTGCTGGATACAGATTGGTAACTAAACACTCACGTCGCAAAACAGTGTCATGGACAGACTGATCATTTCAGAGACATATTCACTGAATAGAAACTGACAGGAAGAGAATGATAAATATACTCAGGTTCCCACATAACAGAAATTTACAGGAACAGGTTGATAACTACAGTCATCTTCTCCCCACAGCAGAAAATGACAGGGACAGGTTGATAACTACAGTCACACATTCATATTACAGTAACTTTCAGGGACAGATTCATGACACTCTCAGGTTGACATGACAGAAACTTGACAGATAACTACACTCCCTTATTCACATTGCACATACCAACAGGAACAGGCTGACAACTGCACTTCCATATTTGCATATCAGAAAGTGTCAGTTACAGATTGATAATTGTGCTCAAATAGTCACCTGGCAGAAACTACCATTAGATCGATAACTAAACTCAAATATTGTAATAGCAGAAACTATAGAGATTGAAAATGACACTCCGTCACAGAGCTTAAAACAAAAACTGATCGGTACAGATTGATATTAGGCTCATGTTCACATTGCATAAATTGGCAGGGAGAGAATCATAATTATACAAACATTCATGTCACAGAAAATGACAGGTACTGACTAACAACTACACTGTCATATTTGCAGCGCAAAACCTGACAAGGACAGATTGGTAAATACACTCTCACATTCACATAGCAGTGACTGTCTGAGAAACAATTGATAACTGCACTCTCGTATTCACAATACAGAAACTGACAGGAACAAACGAATGATAACTCTCCCAGTTTCACAGAATATTAACTGACACGCATAAACCTAACAAATTGTCAGGTATAGATTGATGACTGAACTCTCATTCACATAGCAGAGACTGACAGGCAAAGACTGATGATGACAGTTATATATTTACATAGCAGGAACTGTCAGGCATAGATGGATAACAACACTCTCATATTAACATAGCAGAAAAATGAAAGGGGCAGGTTAATGACTACAGTCACCCATTTGAATTGCAGAAACTGACACTGGCACATTGATGACAACAATCACAGATTCACATGACAAACTGACAGGTACGGATCAATAACTAAATTCACATATTCACAACAGAAACTTTGGGGTAGAGACTGATAATGACAGTCCTACATTCACAGAGCAGGAATTCACAGGCACAGATTGATAACTCAACTCACATTTTAACATAGCGGAAACTGACAGGCATAGATTGGTAACTGCGTTCATGTATTTTCATAGCTGAAACTAGCAGGTACAGATAGATAACTACACTCCCATCCTTTGCATATCAGAAACTGTCGGGAACAGATTGATAACTGCGCTCAAATATTGACACAGCAGAAGCTGACAGGTACTGTTTGACATTCAAACTCTCATATTCACATACCAGAAAATGGCAGGTACAAATTGAGAACCAAACTCGCATGCGCACATCAAAGAAACTGAGAGGGAAAGACTGATAAAAGCAATCAGACATTCACACAGCAGAGCCTGGCAGCAACAGAGTGATAACTAAACTCTGACATTCTTACAACAGAAACTGCCATGGATAGACTGAAAATTTATTCATCAAGCATAACCTGACAGGTACAGAATGATGAGACAACAAGGTGCAGGGCTGGATGAACACAGCAGGCCAAGCAGCATCATAGGAGCAGAGAGATGACTGCTTGATGACTGCTGCCAAACATTCACAGAGCACAAATAAACATAACCAGATTGGCAAATTAGTTATCGTTTTCACATGACCGGAAACTGACAGGGACAAATTAGGAAGAAACACTCATATATTCACATAGCAAAGACTGATAGCGACAGAATGATAACTACAATTACGCATTCACACACCAGAATATTTCAGGGATAGACTGATAAATGTAGAAACAAACTCACCAAGGAAAATCTGACAGTTACAGATTTAGAACCACACTCTCATTTTCACAAAGTTAAAACTGGCACAGTGTGATAACTGCACAAAAATATTCACAGAAAAAATCTCCAAGCTACAGTGTGATAACTACACTCACATCTGCCCAGCAGAAACAACAAGTTTAATAACTAAATCTCCATATTGACGGAGCAGAAATTGATTGGTTCAGATTAATGACTGCACTCTTGTGTTGATACAGCAGAATGGACATGTAGGGACTGGTAACAAGACTCAAGCATTCTCCTAGTAGAAACAGGCATAGATTGAGAACTGCACTCACGCATTCACATAGAACAAACTGAACGGTACAGACTAATAACGTCATGCATTTGAACAGCAGAAATTGACATACATGAGAAAAGAAGGTGAGCTGAGTTATT